GCAGGCTGGGTCTATGTGTGTTCTAGAGTAGAGTTGTTCTGAGAGGGTTCTGGACTGGTTCTGTCTTAGACATCCTTCAGATTGACTCTATTCTGCCTTGACTAGAATATGTATCCACATATCTATCCTAGTCAAAGAAGAACAACCAGTCACCTTCATTAGAACTGTTAGTAACATTAAAAGTGTCTACATCTACTTAGAACAGTAGTACAAGGTAGCTGTAAGACTTGGGACACTGATTGAACACAAGTGTCTACTCTAACCAGTCAATAGTAGGGTTGTGAGCCTTGAGCCATTTGAATCTGATGAAGACATCTGTCTTTCTAAGGTTGGTGACTCTGAACTCAATACTTTCCTCATAATCCTGAATGGTCATCTATAGTTGGACAAACTCAGTGATCCAACCATTCTGGTTCAGGGTTCTGTCTACATTGTATACTAGGATTGGAAGTGGAATGTATTAAGTAGAGAGGTAGTGTTCCTACACAAAGGCCTTATTAATACACAAACTAGTGTATCTACTATTTACTAGAGCTGTTGTTTGGATCTGGGGGGATCCTGAGAAAGGAGCCAAGAGGACAGGGACCTAGAGCTAGTACTCAGAATGTTCTTAGATGAACTGTTACTTGTTCTGAAGGGAATGTACAGCTTGTACAGCCTTATTGTCTAAGAGGGTAAGTATATACACTAACATTTCCTCATTAACCTCTCTCTTTCAACAAGGATAGACCCATGTCCTCAGCTGTGAACTCAGCTGAGGCCATCCCTACTTGATACTATGGACAAACTACTGAGTAGTAAACAGGGCTAGGTAACATTCCAAACATTCTGAGATCTTAGGACACAGAAGTAGCAGGTCAGATTGTGTGGATTTAGACTTGAATAAAGTGTAAAGAGAAGAATCAAAAGAATCAGAAGAAATAGGAGAACTATCTACTTTTGTTTTCAACTTTTTTCTTTCTAATAAATAATTTTGTTGATTTATTTTTTCTACTTTTTCTACTTTTTCTACTTTTCTTACTTTATTTACTTCTAATCCTACAGTGTCCATTGAATCAAAAGTGGCCATTAAAAAATCCAAGTCATAGCTCTTCAGTACTACATTTACTGTTGAGCCTCTACAAAATCCTAGAGTATATAGTCAGGGTCTAGGAGTTCTGAGGTGACTTCCAGATTTGCAGAAAGGACTTCTTACTACAAATCCTGCTTGTCACTCATTATTACTCTAATAACCTAACAGATGTACTGTTACTTCTGTAGACAGTCCTTAATTTGGTGCCCTGACTTTCTGTAAGTAAAGCATACTCCTTACTTTCAGGCTTCTCTAATGTCTATCAGAATGGATTGATTACAAATTATGGGTGGATCAATCCAAGAGCTCAGAACTGTCAGAGCTAGATGTATGTGTAAGTGTTCTGTACAGACTTAATACATTCAAGCTGTGGCTTGGTTGAAGGAGATGGTGCATGTCTTCCACTTAGTGTAGGTGACTAGTTCTAGTATCATTCTAAGAATCTTATTGACCAGTTCTGGGTGAAGAGCTTTTTCAAGCATTCTAATAAGGACATTATTGAACCTAAGTATGAATCCTACCTTCCAGGCCAAGATATTGAATTCCTGAAAGAAGGTATTAGCAGAATGTTTGCCCTGTCACAGAGACACAAGCTTGTTCTGTACATTGTGCTTCTCATTCAGATTAATGAAGGAAGTACAGAGCTGCCCTATGAATTCTGAGTATGACTTGTTGTTCTAAAGTTGGATCAGGCTTCTAATCTAATGACCTTCAATCCAGTTCTAGGCCCAGGTGGCTGTATTGCCTTCCTTTATGAAGGAGAGGATGAATAGGACACAATTGAGATCTGAGGATAGATTGGTTAAAGTAGTAGCCATGTATAGTTCAACTTAGTACTGGAAGTCCTCAAAGTACTGCCTATTAAAGTCTGAAGGGTAGGCTACATACACTTTCTTTCTAGAACAGGTTGTGACTTCTGGAACAATTGGAATGGGTTTTAAAGGGGCTAGGGGCATGTGGTTAGTAAAGGCCTCTTAGATAGAGGTTTATACATATTAAGCTAGTTCTGCTTGTAACTACTGATCCAGTAGGACAGTAGGGGTGGTGGTCAGCATAGTAGGGTCCATGTCTACACTACAAAGGGATCAGTACTAAACTAAAAGGGGTAATGAATAGAAGAAGGGTGGCAAAAGTTTAAAAGGGTTTAGAAAGTTTAAAATTTAAAAATGTAAAAGGGTCAGAACAAAGGAAAGAGATTGATACAACAGTAAGTACTAATGCTCAAAACATAGGAGAGTTGTAGAGTAGTAATAGGTAGTCTTGATCTAATGTCAGTAACAGTGTAGAGGGGACTTGAAGGCTCAGTAAGGGGACCCAGGCTACAACTATTCTACACAATAGAAATACAGAATACAAGTACTAGAACATAGTCAGAACTTGTAGAACAGGCAGAGAGAGAGAGTGAGACAAGAGTAGAGTATATAGAGTAAGCCTAAGAGTACAGGACTACCTAGAGTAGATAAGATCAAGACTACAGGACTAGTCTGATCTTGTACACTTATATATACTAAACTATACAAGAGTACTCAGAGAGTATGAGCCACTAAGAATGATAAGCCACAAAGAATGAAAGAAAGGAATGTCAAAGATAAAGGTACAAAGAATGAAGGGATAGACAAAGGGTAAGAGACTATAGAATGAACAGAGAATGAAGGAGTGGTCAAAGGAATGGAATGATGAAGTAAGGAAGGGTAGTAGTAAGAGTCAGTATGTATATAGTCTATAGACAGTGCCTCTGAGGGACAGAAGTCCTAAGTTCTGGTACAGAAGGGTGCAGAACCCTCAGAACTGAAGGTAAGAGAGCAGAGAATTGTAACACACTCTATATACTCTACTCTTGTCTCACTCTCTCTCTCTACCCATTCTGTAAGTTCTAACTATATTCTAGTACTTACATTCTGTATTTCTGTTGTGTAGAATAGTTGTAGCCTGGGTCCCCTTGCTGAGCCTTCAGGTCCCCTCTACACTGTTGCTGACATGGTTAGCTTTACATCCTTATAAGGGTACTATTTTTTTAGAGGGGGGAGGAGTGTAAGCTTGTTTAACAACTTACAACAGTTTCTGTACAGTTCTACACCTGTCCTAGTACAGAACTGTGTGTCCTGCACACAGATTCTTGTAGTGGCTCACTAAGCCACACACTTTTCCTTGTGATTGTATTAAGTCCCCCTTTTGTTATAACTACCTTCCCTGTATTCCTAGATACATACTATCCCCTTTGTCTTCCCCTTTAAGTATGTATTATGTCCCCCCTTTTTTGTTCCCCCTTTTATTTTCCCCTTTGGGTATGGACCATTTCCTTAGTATATATAGTTGGTATTCTTTGCCTTTGTTACATTAGTTTGTATTTCTGACTACAACAAAGGTGAGTTCTTTGTTAGTACATATATTAGTTTGTATTTCTGACTGTAACAAAGATACCTTTGTCCTGTCAGCCTTTGTGTGTTGCTACAAACTCAGAACTTGTTCATAACAGTGTTCAGCACTCCCCTAGTACTGTTCCAACACTAAAGATATAGTATGTAAGTCAAGTATATAAATACTACTTTAATTTGTCAAGATAAAAGTATTATATTAACCTTTACAAAACAATGCTTCTCTTAATTCTGAGCTATACAAAGCTTTGTGATTAACCAAGCAAGGCACACTGTGCTACAGCTGTTCCTTGAAAACCATATTTATATTTGTAGTAGACAGAACAACTGTTTTACTGTGTATAAAAAATTTTGAAAAATAAAATCCAATTCACTCTATCACATACAGAAATCATGACTGCTCTTGAGTAGAGAAACATTCCAGAAGGATGATCACTTCTTTCTGATGTAGGGGCAAGGAACAAGAGGCATACAACAAACAGAGATAAAGACATGGATTTAAAGGATTCAAGTCTCAAACTCTCAGTCATAACTCAAACACTTATTCATGTAGCCATATTGTCAGAGACAAAAGTTACACGTGTCTATTTCTGACGTTTTTCTGTGCTGAAAGAAATGAAAGTGAATGGTAAACACAAGGATTAAATTTGAAGTAACGTTCGACTGGACAAATGAGATTCCAAGCCAAGAAACCCAGTTTCCCATGACGTGACGAGCTTCATGTGATGGCATCACATAATCACGTCGAGTGACTAACTGTCACCTTGTCCTCACAACTCAGGTCTCTCGTCCCGATTCTCATCAGGTATCCCATAGACAGCCTTTACGCTAGACACTCTAGACAAAAGCCGCATCTTTCTTCACTTTTTATCGTGCGGCCATTCTTAAAAACAAAACTACGATCTTCATCAATACTAACATGCCCGCAGGACTTAGCAGTCAAAAGCGTTCATGGGATGGCATCGGGTTGACTGGTTCTCCCAACGGTCATCCTCCAAAGCGCCCGAAGGATGAAGGTGCAAGAGACTGGAAGGATGTATATTTAAACGGTGATTCGCGCAGTGGTGGAAGGCGCGAAGGTGATCGCGATCGTGACCGTTACAAGACGAGAGAACGAGAGCGAGACAGAGACGTCTATAGGTCGGATTCGCGGAGAGACGCTCCAAGGCATCGAGGAAGAGATCAATATAGGGACCGATATAGGAGTGATAGGAAAGTGCATGGTAATGGCCGGCCGAGCGGGCGTCCTGACAGAGACGAAAAAGATCGTTCCCGACGTTTGTCCCGACATCCCCCTGGTCCTAGTCCCAACCGCAGCCACAGTCCAAATCGGGGTCGTAGCCACTCAAAGCTTACTCGGGACCATCGGAAAGAGGCCCGTGTACATAGTTCTGAACGCGAAGAGGGAGAGTAAGTCGTTTATTCGCTGTCTGATCCGAAGCTGACACATTTAAATGTTCAGATTGTCACCTGTGGCAAGCCGGAGCGCGACGCGTTCCCTCTCAGCTTCAACGAGAGTATCTCAAAAGGCTTCTCCACCGCCTCCTGCTCCGATGCCAGAGAAGACTGATCAAGCCGAGCTCGAATTAGAACTTGAGGAAGCAGCATCAAACCCTGTGGAAGAGACGCTGGCGGAAAGGCGTGCTCGGCGTCAGGCAATCCGTGCCAAATACGCCGGAACCGCTTCAGCAGCCCTCAGTATGAATGAGACGGCAAGTCCAAGCCCCGGACTAAGCAGTGCGGTCTTGCAGCCGCCTCCTACCACTTCAGAGGTTAATATTGAGCATAAGAACTACAGGCCCGGTCCAATAGCGGGTGCCACTGAGAAACTTGGCGGAAGTTTGGTTGCGAGTAAGCTATTGTCCTTTCCGCATACTAACCCGTACCTGATCCATTTTGATTTTTCAAGGCAGGAGAGCTTCGCCGCAGCCAATGTCACCAGCGATAGAGTCCTTCGATCTTATCAAGGAGGATAAGCCGTCAGATTCTGCGGTCCAAGTTGCTGACGGAACGGGTGAGCAAATATCCGCCGCTGACTACGATCCCAGCTTCGACCGTAGGGAGGACGAGGAAAAGCGAGTTCGTGCCGTCACTGCTAAGGATGAAAAGCATCAGGAGATAGAAATGATAGAAGTCGAAGAGGAGGAAGAGGAAGAAGACGTGGACGACATGTTCGCTCTTGACACAGTTGAGAAAAAGAAAACTAAGAAAGTCAGAAAGATCTCGGTCAGTATCTTTGTTCGTCTAAATCTGTCATTGTTCACGAACTAATTGATTCTATAGAAACCCGCTGCACCTGCTCTTGTTACGGCTACACTTGACACTGCGGCTGACGCGGAAGGTTACTATCAGGTCATTCTCGCTGAGCAGCTTGACGGCGGGAAATATCAAGTTTTCTCGTCATTAGGCAAAGGAATGTTCGCGAACGTCGTTCGGGCGCGCATTCTGCACGGCGACGCAAGTGAAGTTGGTAAGGAAGTCGCGATCAAGATTATCCGTGCTCAGGAATCGATGTACGTGTGTGCCGTTTAATCAGTTGTTTATTGCTAATCGTTGGTTGATGCCAATTAGGTATAAAGCTGGGTTGAAGGAGGCACAAATTTTGACCAAGCTCCGCCAAGCCGATCCGGAGGACAAGAAACACATTGTCCGCTTAGAAAGGACTTTCGAACATCGCGGTCATTTATGCCTTGTCTTCGAATCTTTGAGGTGAGCATGAACGTTAGTATGATTTCACCGTAGCTAACGACTTTGATTATTAGCATGAACTTACGTGACGTCGTCAAACGCTTTGGTAAAGATGTCGGCCTCAATATCCGTGCTGTACGAGCATATGCTCACCAGCTCTTCCTTGCTATGAGTCTACTGCGCAAGTGTAACATTATGCACGCAGATGTCAAGCCTGATAATATTCTGGTGCGCATTAACTTATTCCAATACGCGCCTTGTCTCACGTTTTTGTGCAGGCAAATGAACAAAAAACTGTACTGAAAGTTTGCGATCTCGGCTCTGCTTCGGACGTTTCAGAGAATGAGATCACACCTTACCTTGTCAGTCGATTCTACCGAGCTCCAGAGATTAGTAAGTTGGCTGTTTGTCGCGTCTTGCTTTAGCTGACAATGGGCACAGTCTTGGGTGTCCCGTACGATTGCGCTTTGGATATCTGGTCTATCGGCTGCACCTTATACGAGCTTTATACTGGAAAAATTCTGTTTCCGGGACGATCTAACAACCAAATGCTCCTGCTTATGATGGAGCTAAAGGGCCGCTTTAACTCCAAAATGATTAAGAAAGCAAAGTTTGGCGAGGACTACTTTGATGAGATGGGTACCTTCCAAAGTGTGGAACGAGACAAAGTGACAGGAGCAGTAAGTAATTTAACGTTCACTTTTGTTTGTTTCTAATATTGTGAATGATAGGATATCATCCGAAAGGTGCATATCGCGAAACCTACACGGGATTTACGTGCTCGTCTCTTGTCTTCCTCTTCCAGGGTCAATGATGAGGAGGACAAACTAATTTTATCTTTCATTGACTTACTGGACAAGTGCTTAATGTTGGATCCGAGTAGAAGAATTATGCCAAAGGAGGCTTTGGTTCATCCGTTTATCAGAGGTTAGGAAACCCACTAATTATATGTATTATTGTCCAATGAAATACACCACGGCTTTACATCTCTTTTCCAGTCGCCTGAACTAACGCGAAGCGGTTCGCCAGGTTCAGTGCTTTAGTCACTTGAGCAATTATTGGTTATCGTCTGAAAGCCAGTCTAATTCACACACCACGAGTCAAATGACTTCCAAAGGCATCATGTGAGTAGTCTCCTTGAAAATACGCGAAGCATGGTCTATGACGGCATGTTCTATGTATGACACTCAATTCTTCCCATCTATAAAGACTTCAAGCGATGCACAAACAAGGTATCGGCTCATCCCAAGCCGTCCATCGTCCACATCACCTAGCATATCTTCGACATGCCTGCAAAGCGCCTCTCTACTTTTGTTTCTCACTTGACTGGCTCTTCTAGCTCCAGCTCAGAGAAGCACAAGAAATGGGACAAGCTTCCTACGTTTGATGAGCTCCCGAAATTTAACGACTTTGCAGGGTGTGCATGGACCGTGTGGGGTGAAGGCGACGAGCTTGGGACTATAAACCTACTGACCGAGGAGGTATTACGGTCAGCCGCGAGAGAAGTGAAGTGAGCTCCGCCGTTGTACATTCCTAGATACCCATTTGCTCACGAATTCTTATTATAGAACGGGACAGACTGTTTGCTTGAACTGGTGCGCCACTAAGTCCTGTATTACTAATTGAAAGGTATTATTGAGCTGCCGAAAAACTCAGGCCTCTCAATTTCCCAGAGAAGGTGGAAGACTACATGTTATGTAATAAGTCCGGACTCTCAACCGTTCTTTGCTTTGCAGCCGCTCTTTTCACGGAAACCACCCCATATCGAGGTCATCAAACCTTCGCCGACGGCAACCTGGCACGATGATGAAATTAGTATTGTAAGGTCTTTTGATCAAGTGGCGACTACTCATTCCTAATCCAATGTTGAATGCTCGCAGAACTCTCAATCGGGTTCCCAGTGGGATGGTTTGAGGCACTTCGGCATCATTAAACATGGTGTCTTCTACCAGAAGTCGGTCCGAATTCCCTTGACACTTGAACGTTACTCTAAAAATCTCGCTTTATAAAGTACACCTTCCGAATTCTTTAAGATGGGAAAAGTTCCCAATGCGGACCCTCTCAAGATGGATAAAGACCTTATTAAATATGGAATCCAAAGTAAAAAGAGAAATATTCCAATTCTTGCTTATTTCATTACTAACGATTGAACAGACTGGGCTCGGCATGGTATCTGTGGACGTGCGGTGTTCCTTGATTTGGTTCGATTCTTTACGAAGGACGGCAAACAGCTACCGTATGATCCGTGGACGACTCATGGGATTACTGTCGCTGACCTAGAAGCATGTGCGCGTGATGAAGGCGTCAAGTTCCAGCAAGCGGATATCCTTCTCATACGTGCCGGATTCATTAAGAAATATTATGAGAGCAGTCAAGAAGATAAAGATGCATTGCGCGGCAAACAAGAGACGTTGTATGTTCTCCTGATTGAGTTTTCGACTAATTGTACTTTTCTCACCGTTAAAACGACCAGTGCTGGGATTGAGCAATCAGAAGAAATGAAACGATTCCTCTGGTATGTATCGTGCCTTGCTGCGTGCTTACGTGGACTGGACGTTGAACTAGCACGTACCATACAGGAACAACCACTTCGCGGCAATTGCTTCTGACCAGCCGGCGCTTGAGGTAACTTCCGTTTGTGCAATATCCTAATATGCTTATCCCTTGAGTATATAGCGTTGGCCTCCTGAAGAAGGAACTCATATGCACCAGGTGAGTGTTATGCTAATACGGTCTCTTGTGAACCCCCGGGTCTAATACTATTGTTTTCAGACCATAATTGGGTAGGTCCAGCGAAACCACTCATTACATTTTTCTTATTCATTGTCTTTCGAAGCTTGTGGGGTATGCCAATCGGTACGTCTCCACTTCTGCAAGTTAGGAAGAAGTATCGCGAAAGTTTTTGTTCTGCGTATAGGCGAAATGTTCGACCTGGAGAAATTGTCTGAAGTATGCGCTGCAAACGGGCGTTATACGTTCTTTTTCACTTCGTGGCCGCTCAATGTGTACGTCTGAATCCCCCTTGGGATATTTCTTGATATCTTATTTCGTTCGTAATAGCCTTGGTGGATGCGCGAGTCCTCCAAACGCCGCAGTAAGTGCTAGCTCGAATGACTACCAACATTTTCGTACTTTCTGACAAATCGTTTCTCCAAAGGCATACTTCTGATGCGTTTCGACCCCAGAAAGAAACGAGCATAAATTATGAGCGGAAGAACTGAGCTCGAAGCGACCTTTATCTAGCAGGATTTCATGAGGAAATCCAGTACCCACCTTTAAGGAGTTAAGAGATCGAATTTTTAAATTGTAAATAAATCAACACAAGTAACAAGGGGTGTAGTTTTATAAGCTATTTTCATATGATCTGAATGACCTTTATTTCTCGATTTGCAATTGATGAATTATTAAACAATATGTATCTCTATTCCGTCATGCGTGGCTCCAAGCAAAGAGCAGCAAGCTATGCCTTAGGTATCACATCTTTGATTTAAAGAGCCGTGCAAAAAAGTATGTTTTACTGTAACACGGGCATGTCCTTGGATTTTATGATTCATGAAGTGTACTGAATTATATATATGCACCACGTGATTTTGGCCCAGGTGACGATTGGATATTCCTAACTCGCACATGGGGCATTTCACAATTCCTTACCTTAAAAAATAACTTACATAATGATAAACATTATTTGAAATTTATTTTCTCATTTTTGACCAGTAAAAATTAT